TACGCTGTCCTTCAGTCACCCCAACAATATTACTCATGCAATACAGATTCGATTAGCAAAAAATATAGTATTATTATAAGTTAGTCTAAATAAATGTACCCACACAGTGACTTGAGGTTCCCTAAAATAATGAAAGCTTACATTCAGGAGGACAGAACAAACAGCGAGGTGGCCATGATGAGCAGCTATCGAGAGCGCAGTAGAACAATCGTTGGATGTCGCATTAACGTCGGCACGAGTAAAACGGCTACTAATAGAGGATTTAGCCTCTGAAATGATATTTAAAGAGTGCGGACCCTGAAGTAAGAAGCGACAGATATCAGCATGTCCGTTCCAAGAGGCAAAGTGCAAAGCAGTACGACCCAGATTATCACGATTATCAATCGAAACACCACTCTGTTAATAAATAAAAAAAGTTATCGTGAAGTTAAAAAATGAATAGTAACTGGCCTATCAATTAGCGAAGGATCTAGAATGGTGCCAGCTTTAGAGTGTGCAAATGTAACATCTCGGAACTATCAGATAATGAAGGAGCTGCGGCCCAGATCTATTGAGGCGGAGATGCATAAGCTATTTGATAAGATTTGAACGAAAAGGCCGCACATTTTTAAAAAATTGTCAAACAGATATGCGAATAGGGAATAGAAGGGATTAAAAGGATTATAGTCAACAAGATGACAGATCACAATAAATGTGTAAATTGAGAGATATGTCGATCTCGGAAAATAGAACAAGCTTCCACATACGTCAATTGGAGTTTGTATGAAAAAGCTCTAGCCGGTAATCAGTATTTTACCTCGATAAAATGGGGAGATCAGTTGGGGCTTTATTTTAAGAAGTGGTGATGGGTTACTTTCGCCTTCCTCGTATCATGTCACATTGATTGCTTTCTTAATATGCATCTATAAAGGTAGGAATCGATGTAGTTTATACATCGTTTTTGCGTAGGATTGCTTAAATTATACTCCATTTGGAAGCCTCTTCCAAAGCTACACTGATGAAGTGCGAGACAAAGTGGGAAAGGCCACTAGCATTGATAAGGACATCATGCATAATAAATAAAAAATGATTGGCACAAATGTAAAATTGGGTTAAATGTATCTATACTAGAGAGAATAGGGTTAAATGATGAAAATAATTTGC